AAAAAAAAAAAAAAAAAAACAAAGAAAAGAAAACTTCTCAGAAGCAGCCATACAGCACATTTACATTCCTTTGACCAGAACTTATTCCCTAACTGTAAGAGAGGTTGGGAAGTGTAATCTTTATTTGGGGGGCCACATTTCCATCCCAAAATCTTGGGTTCTATCACAATGGAAATAGGAGAGAATGTATATTGGGGCATAGTCAGCCGTCTTTGCCACAGGGTTTTGTCTTGTTTGAGACAGGGTGTAATTTTTGTATTTTTAGTAGAGATGGGGTTTCACCATATTGGCTAGGATGGTCCCCATCTCTTGACCTCGTGATCCACCCACCTCGGCCTTCCAAAGTGCTGGGATTACAGGCGTGAGCCACTGCTCCTGGCTTTTTTTTTTTTTTCTTTTTGGGTAGTCATTTTTGACTAAGACTGGTCTTAAACTCCTGGTAGTTGTTGTAAGGCAGCGGGGCCCTTAGCCATTCCCTTGAGGTTGCTTAAGCAACCTCCTACCTCAGCCTCCCAAAGTGCTGGGATTACAGGTGTGAGCCACCATACCCAGCCGCCACAGGGGTTTTGATGTAGGTCTGGCTTATAAGGGTGATGTCAGAGCACGATGCAGGGCCTGCCTTCCAAAGAGGCTGCATTTCTTTTTTCAGGAATGGACAATCAGACTGTTCTGGCTGTCCAATCATTATTGGATGGCCAAGGAGCAGTCCCTGATCCAACAGGCCAGAGTGTCAATGCGCCCCCTGCTATCCAGCCATTGGGTGAGTATCTGCTCAAGTTCACCAGTGGAAGGGTGAGTGGCTCCCCAGGAAGAGTAGGTGGAGCTCATGCTGGGCAGTGGGAGTAAAATGCCTGCTGTGGGCCCCAGGACATGCTCTGGTGTCTGAACCCTCTCCTCTACCTCCCAGCCTGGATCTCTGGGCTGACGCCTTTCTCTGCGCTGACGCCTTTCTCTGCTTAGCTCTGAGGACACCAGCTCTCAACTGCTTAGTAAACGTGGGGAGATGGGGTCATGGTGCAGGGAGTGGCTAAGGGCCCCGCTGCCTTACAACAATGTTTGTGCCTTTGCCCTGGAAGTGATTTTTCGGCCTCTCTTCTGTGGAAATAATAGGCTGAGCATGAATTTCTCCTGTTTACAGACCAGGCCTGTAAGGGCCGCCTTCTTTTATTTATTTATTTTTCTTGATACAGAGAGTTACTCTATCCCCCAGGCTGGAGTACAGTGGCATGATCTAGGCTCACTGCAACCCCTGCCTCCCAGGTTCAAGCAATTCTCCTTCCTCAACCTCCCGAGTAGCTGAGACTACAGGCACGTACCACCATGTCCAGCTAATTTTTGTGTTTTTAGTGGAGATAGGGTTTCACCATGTTGGCCAGGCTGGTCTTGAACTCCTGACCTCAGGTGATCCACCCTCCTTGGCCTCGAAAAGTTCTGGGATTACAGGCGTGAGCCACTGTACCTGGCCACCTGTGTGGTTTTGAAAGCTCCTAGGAAGCACATGGTTGATGCCTGACACCTGCGTGTCACCCAGATTGCTGCTCCTGTGGTCAGCACAGTTCAGTTTCACACTGTGATGCCCCTTGACATGTTCTTGCTTTTTTTTCATTATTTTACCTTTGTCTGTGGCCTCTTCCCAATACCCTTCGGGTATGACCCCAGATGACGAGGATGTCTTTCTCTGTGGGAAGTGTAAGAAGCAATTCAACTCACTGCCAGCGTTTATGACCCACAAGCGGGAACAGTGCCAGGGGCACACCCCCACCCTGGCCACAGTCTCGCTGGCCACCAACAGCATCTACACACCGTCAGCAGCCCCCACAGCGGTCCAGCAGGCCCCGCCTCCTACCAATCGCCAGGTATTCATTTGTTTGTTCATTCATTCATTCAACATGTCTCTTTTGAGTGCCTATCATGCTCAGGTACTGTGCCGGGCACTGGGGCTATAGCGATGGATAAGGCAGACCAAGTCACTGCCCTTGTGGAGTGGGGTGGGTTGGATGGTGCACATGTACATTTTCAGCATGTTAAATGCAGAGATAGGGGATGCCAGATGGGGGTGGGAGGTTTTGCCATATTGCCTATGGTGCTTGGGGAAGGGCTCTGTGAAGAGGTGAGCAGGAAGAATAAGTACTATATAGCAGGTAAAAGGTGTTGTATGAAAAATCAAGTTGTGTAATAAGTAGATAATATATTATTATTTTAAAAATCTAAAACGAGGCCGGGCGCGGTGGCTCAAGTCTGTAATCCCAGCACTTTGGGAGGCCGAGGCGGGTGGATCACGAGGTCAAGAGATCGACACCATCCTGATCAACATGGTGAAACCCCGTCTCTACTAAAAATACAAAAAAAACATTAGCTGGGCATGGTGGCGCGTGCCTGTAATCCCAGCTACTGAGGAGGTTGAGGCAGGAGAATTGCCTGAACCCAGGAGGCGGAGGTTGTGGTGAGCTGAGATCGCGCCGTTGCACTCCAGCCTGGGTAACAAGAGTGAAACTCCGTCTCAAAAAAAAA